AATGAAAATGAGCTGGCCTTATCCGCTGAAATGCTTTTGCACTAGAGTCACGTTGCTGAGATCGGAGCCGCATATCCCAACAGCACATGGGAGGGGTCAAGATAAATCCAGTTGAGTCATGACAGGCAGAAAATCAGCATGCAGGAGTCGCATCATCTGCGCCAACACCACCACCGCCGCCAGCACCAGCACCGCCACCGCCACCGCCACTGCCGCCACAGCAGCAGCAGCAGAGCCAACACCACCATGAAATCATGAGAGTGCCGATGACCGTGAGTTCTGACAATCATCATCGTCGTCGCCGTTTACATCATCAGCACCCACCAGCGCCACCACCTCCAATGCATACTTGTTGTCGCCACCATCAGCCTTCACCATCAGAAGTGTTTGCACTAATGCCAAAGAACTTATGCAACACAGCTCTTGCGCACCAACACAGCGAGCATTCTGCAAGGAAGCAGACGAGACACTGTTTCCTGCTAGTCAACCCGAGTCAACCCGTCCTTTGGAGACACGGTCGCAGGAGTTGGCGCTTAGCTGGTGGCAACCCTATGGAATTTTTGGAGGCAGCCGGCAGCGGCATGCTTTGGGTTCAGCTTGGAATCAGTGCAACCTGGCAGGTGCAATGCCTTGCAGACACCGACGAGTTTGTACAGTGTTATCCTTTGCCGGAAGGCCTGCAGGGACCGACAGCTCCAGTCCGGAGCCTTGCAGCATGCCTCAGCCTTGGCGCAGGATGTAAAGCTCTCAAACTGGACCTGTCGCCAAGAGGACCTCAAGGTGTGGGCCGGCTCAAGTGAAGTTCAGGAATCTTTTGGATGTGCGCGGGGAGTATATCTTATTGTTACGAGGTACAGTTTGTTTGTGTGTGTGTGTGTGGGGTTGTGTGTACATATATATATATATATATATATTTATATTTATGTATGTATTCTAGTTTTTTCGCCAATGTCGGGATGCAGCAGAATGCAGCACTCGGGCCTGGAAGATCCTGGCAGCATTGGCTACGGCCGGCCCAGCAGAACGCTCGGCTCATCCCAGAACCCGGTACATTATTGTCTACATATGGGTGGTTGTCGTTATTGGGGTCCCTTTTTGGGTCCCTATGAGAATACGGCACCTAATATTCAGGGTACCCGAAAAGAGCCATCATTTTGACAACCACGCATATGCTAGCACGTGATGACGTATGATAGTCTATGATAGGGTGAATGTACTGGAAAGCAGTGCCCAACTTCGGCTAAAGTAAGGCACCCTTGTGACAAGAATAAGCTGACCTCGGCAAGCCTTTACGGCTCCGAACCCTTTGTCCGAGTGTGAGCGGCGAAGCCAGCTGTGTTTCGATAAGCTTGGCGAGTAGCCGCTTCTTGTATTGCTTCTTGCCGACTGCGAACCATGGACCTCATCTGGCGAGACCGAGCGTATCCATCGTAACCTTGCTTCGCGAGTCGAGCCGTGAGAGCGTCAACCAGGAAACGCACCCGCTGAGTTTACAAGTTTTTACATACATGCATATGTACATACATGCTTATATCCGTATCAGTATACTATCTAATATTTGTTATTGGTTTTATATATTATAACGCTGAAAAGTGTCAATGTTTTCCCTGCCAGACGGCTTGGCTGCCGCGAGCAATCCGAAGGGCTGTCCTTCCAGGCCTTGCAAAGATTAGGGGCTTCCAGTTGCTGGTGTCGGCATCATTGTTTTTCACAAGTTTTGCTCTTGGTCATTCTTATATACTTGTATTCCTCTCAGTATTGTCATCTTGTGATAATTGATACCTTGTTGTCTTGCAGTGTTGGCTATTATGTCTTTTGAGTCATGATCTCTTGCGAGCGTTGTTATTAGCCTTTTCAAATCTTTTTGTTCTTGCCGTTGCAGCTCTTCTCTTCTTGCTACTGTTTGCCTACAGCACTCTGCAAGTCCAGGCCGGGGCTCGTACAGTATTGGGCAAGATTCCGAATTACCAAGCCTCACATGTTTCTATGAAGCTTCTGGCAGTGGGGAGTTGCAAAGATTTGCGGTTAAGGTTTGGGACTGCTTTCGAGCGATTGTAGGGGTTCTGGGCATTCCGGGCTCTGCAGTTTGTTTTGACTAGAAAAGGGCATGGGTGGGAGGGCTTGGGATTTGGCTTTGGGTGTTTCGTGTAAGAACTAGTAGCTGTTCCGTAGAACTGGGATCGCTTTCGGGTCGTACATCACCCTAGCGCCACGATTTCCGGCACGTCGAGCTTGGTCGAAATCCTGCTTGGGAATTCCTTGTGCGGTGCTTCGTACGGACGTCATGTGCAACTTCACCGGGAATCGACGGTACGGTTCCTACGATTCGCATCCGAGCTTTGCAAGTCAGCGCTTGCACAGGTCATACATATCTGGGCAGCAACCATGAAAATCCGAAACTCTAGCCCCCCCATTCGTTCGTTTCAAGACAAAGTTCAAGAGCCGGACCTGCTTTCGAGCCCGTGAGGGTAGGGCCTGGGTCTTCAAAAATGCGGTTCCGTGAGGCAGCCAGCGAATCCGTCCGTGCCGCAGTGGCCGCTGCTCAAGGCTGTCGGAGATCTTGAGTTTGAGTTTAAGCCCTGAGGCGGCTAGCACGGATCCTTGCTGGAGCTACTGGTACGGTGGGGTTGCGGGAGAGACCAGACCTGAAAGAAGAAGGAAGGGCAGGCGAGAGAGGCTGCATTGTGTCAGCGAGATAGAGGAATCAGAAGGTGGCCCAGCTGTGTCGGATATTGCAGAGAGAGAGAGAGAGAGAGAGAGGGACACTTAGCCCGGCAGAAAGTCAAGAAAAGAGGGACACTTATAACACATCGGGGGCCCATGTGGCCAGGGGCTTGACACGCCCTCCAAGCCCTGAAGAGGGACACTTACACACAGATATATACACATATATGTGTAGAGATAAGTATACATACATACATACATACATACATAAAGAGGTACATATACACGTATATGTATAGACATGTGATAGTAGTACGCAAAGTACGTTGTACATTGCTTCAATGCTTCGGACCTTCGTCAGGATTCTCAGAGGCAGGACAACGCCCCTTACCAAGCATCCTGCTGTTGGATGTGGTAGCAGCGAAACTTCACCGGGCTTGGCTGTTGTGATCGAAGATTCGTAGAAGTCTGGAGCTTGCCCTTACTGCTACAAGTGCGAGCACCGTTGTTGCAAAACCACTACGCGGTTAAATTTGCAGGTTCCCAATGACATGGTACTATTGCAGCACGTGCTGCTTGCACTACTTATTGCTTATGCGGCTTGTTCCTGCTATTTCGTACACTGCTGCTCTGCTATTGCTGCTGCTCTTGCCACTTCTACTTGCTTTACTCCCGTTTCTAATTCTACTACTACTACCACTACTCTACTACTACTACTACTACCACTACTACTACTACTACCACCACTCTACTACTACTACTACTACTACTACTACTACTACTACTACTACTACTACTACTACTACTACTACTACTACTACTACTACTACTACTACTACTACCGGACTTCGGTCGGTCATTGCAATCGCCTCAAGCTCCGGTGAGTGGACGTGAGGCCTACTACTAAACAACTACTTCTGCTGCTGTTACTACCACCACTACTTCTAGAGCGACCCATGCCAGTAGCACTGCCGCGAATAGCTATCACTACCATACGGCTGCTACCACCACTACGACGACTACTACCCTTGCCACGAACAGCCGACCACTGGTGCTGCTGCTACTGCTGCAATTGCTGCGGCGACGACTGCTTCGACTACCACAACTGGTACTACTACCTTGCGGCGACGAGTATGACGATGACGGAAGCTTTTGTCGCCGCCGCCACCTTTTCCGGTAGTCCCCAGCACTGCACCACTGTTGGCACTAGCACCCCTCTGCCACCACACCGCGAAGTTCTACACACTGTCAACTCCACCATCCGCCAGCCTGAGGCCAGAATCAGTGGCGGATTCAGTGCGCTGATGGCTTGCCGCGGCCCTATTGACCTAGTGCACTTCCGTTCAATTGTCGGGTTCGGGCCGTTGCTGCGGCGAGGGGATAAGGGATCTCTACGAGACCTCGATCCGCATTGAGCCTTTGCCACCCGTGCCTTGCAGTCACTTCCAGTGCAATCGTTTCAGCGAAGGTCACCAACCTCTTCTGCTGGAGGTGTCGTGTTACCTCGTCCAGTCGCCCAAGGACGGGGATGGGACGGCATTGCAGGGGCAAGTTGCCCTGAAGAGGCATGTTGAGGTCAAAGTTCTGCGGGGCCTTCGCGTCGTAAACGGCTGAGGGGCGGGGCTCCAATGAGGTCTTCGCGCCCTCTTGTGCATACCTCACCCACCAGACCAAGACCTCATGTGCCTGCCTCGTTTGGAAATTCCGCAACCTCTGCGGTCACCGTGTGCCAGCATGAACCGGTATTCGTCAAGGCGCTTTTTGGTCGTGTGGCTAATTCTTATATGATCTCGTGAGTTACAGGTCTCAAAGTCTAAACCCCACAGTAAACCCCAAGCAGCTGTTGTGTCGCATCCTCAGCAGCCGCAGATTTCAGGACTTCTGCGCCATTGGTCAGCTCAGCCCTGCTTTCACACCGCTGCTGGAACCCTTCATGGATCGGCTGTGGGCAGGCAGGCCGATGATCTATGGCGTGTATACTCCGTTTTGTTGAAGTATAGATGCAGCTTCTTTGCAAGTCGCGAAGGCACACGACACTCATTCCACTGCTTAAACCCATGAGGCTTATACCAGGCTCGGTGGCCCTGCTTCTACAGCTGCCTGCTCCACCGAGGGGCGGAGGCCTGTCGCCTTAGCAGAAGTGTTATGTATATATATATATATATATATATACATAACACACATACACACATACACACACACACACACACACACACCCTCACACGCTCATCTCTCTCTCTCTCTCTCTCTCTCTCTCTCTCTCTCTCTCTCTCTCTCTCCCTCCATAGATATATTATGTCCACCCGGTCGTTGTAGTCAGTAGTCGTTGTCGGCAGGGTATGGGCAAGTCGCGGAGAAGAGCGTTGGGACAGTTCAAGCGTTTTGTGAATGTCATGGCCACACAGTCGGCCCCACTAAGCAGCCAAAGACCCCAAGATCAGACCGAACAGCATTGGCATCATCTTTGTCGCCAAACTTCATGCAGGTTCCTTAGTATGGATTCGCTATCGAGTCGTAAGAGCCCTATCGTACATCGAGTCCTCCCGCTCTTTCTTCGTCTCTCCCTCCCTCTCTCAAGAAACATATGTACAAACATATATATATATATATATATATATATATATATATATATACATATGCAGATGGACCGACAGGGCGGGCCTTGGAGTGAAAATCGAACCTTTGCCTGAGGCATGGTACACGCTGTACTGGCAGACTTGGATGCTTGACGGCTCCGATGCAACATCTGGGCATGTAGGGTTACTGTAAGCTTTTGCTTTGGGCCTCGGGGTGCTGGGGCCCACGCGCACAGCTCCGGGCTAAGGAGGGGGAACAGCGAATTCCAGATGGAGATCTTCGACCGTGAGAAGAAGCGAGGCTTCTGCATGTCGGCGATGCCGGCCTTTGTCCAATATGACCATGCTGCCGATGCTTATGTTGCATCCTACATAAGCCGCTCGACAGAACTTGGAAACTCGTTGCACGCACATGTGGCTGACGGCTTCGTGCAGTCCTTCGGCACGTCCGGTTGCTCCTGGTCTCTGTTGAATTGTCGTTGGCCATTTCGTGGCGCCGTATCGCTGCCTTGTGGATCCCATCACGATCTCAGGTGCGAGCGAAGTGATGCTCGACCCTCAGAGTGTTGCTTCGAATATCTACCCCTCGCCCCCGAAAAAAACGACCGACACCCCACCAAGGTGGACAAGGAGTTTCTAGTTCGAGCCGGGGTAAAGAGGTACAGTTTCTGTTGACTGGGCTTCCGCTCACAGCTCTTCTCGCTTCAACTTCCGCAGCGCAAGAAGGTTTTTGATAAAAGCCTATGACCTATGCACAGTATACCTGGACAGTATTACTTTCATGCGAACTTGTCATCCTCGCCCAGCTTGCAAAGTCATGATTGGTGCACGCGCATCCCAAACATCTCCAAAGGCTCAGTAAACTCGAACACGCGCACCCGACCCAAGAGGGTGACAGCACAAAGCCCGTTCGAAGCTGAGGCCAGAGGTCATCCCGAGGGCCCAAGAGCACCGGCTGCGGTGCCTTCTTTGCAAAAGCTTGCAGTCAGGAAGCTCAAGCTGCTGGTGAGGGGTAGTGGCAGTAGGAGTCGCCGAGGTCGTCGCAGCCTTAGTTGCAAGATAGTTGTGGTAGCGGTAGTAGGAGTAGCAGTGGGAGTGGGAGTGGGGTGATAGTAGTAGCAGTAGCAGCAGCACCAGCAGGAGTACTCGTCGTGCAAAGATGGCAGAAGCCGCCACACGAGCAGTAGCACCAGCATGAGTCACAATGGGCGGAACAGTTTTCAAACGAGAACGGCTGCAAGCCGACGCCTCAACTAAAACGAGAGCAGCCGACGCCTCAGGTTCTGCCCGCCATCCGCTCGACAAAGGCCCGCAAGAGTTTGCTAACCTCAGCCCATGCATGTGTTGGCATGAGATCTTCGAAATATAGTGCAGCAGGGCAGTGGTTGCGTGAGTCTGAGGGTTTGATAATATAGTGGCCTTACTAATTAGAATAAGGCTTTGGTGCATATAATAGTAGAATCATAACAAGGAACCCACACACACATTAGTATTGGCAATTATTGCGGCCCCTATAGTATGCCAACCTTGGCAGTTCGACCAGCAGAGTTGCCTTGGGTTTTGCGGCCTCGAGGCTTTGCGTAAGCTGGCTGCCGATGCCAGAGGCTGGCCTTCTTCCAAGGGCTCAGGGCTTCGGGTAGCGAGTTCGAGACATAGACGGGTGGTTGTCAAAATTAGGGTCCCTTTTTGGGTCCTTATTATAATACGGCACCTAATATTTAGGGCGCCCAAAAAAGGGGCCTTAATTTTGACAACCACCCATATACGTTGTCGGGCCATGGAGCCTTGAGTGCCTGGCTCTTTGAGTGTAGTCGCTGTTGTGGTCAGGAGGTCGTTCCGGGCCTTGGGAGGGCCCTCGGCTTGTCGGATGGCTCTTGTGGGATCTCCGGTGCTCACGGTGATGAATGAAAATCATAGAAGAGTTTTCCGCAATTCCGGATGAGCCTCAGCCTCATCAGGCCTCATCGATCATTAGTGGCAGGCTGACTTGAGACAGCGATTCCTGAAGCCCCGACACCGGGAAAGCTGTCGACTCAATTCAAATTCGGCGATGTGGCAAGGCAGTATCGACAAGGCACCGGCAAATCGAAGCGGCCGCAGGGCAACTGCCGCCAGGTTCCCCGGAAGCGGCTGTGCCCCAGCTACAAGCGGCAGAGCACTTATCCGTACAAGGCGCCTTGGGCGGGTTCCGAGGTTTCACAAACAGGTATCTGCAGTAATTGGTGTTCCAGTGATGTTCGATGAGCTTTCTAGCCTCCCTGCGTGTGTAGAGAGTACTTGCTGTATCGAGTCGTTGGAAGTTTGAAGGCTCGCAACTAGTTATTCGGATTTAGGCATTTAGGCAAAAGGCCTGCTGCAGGATTTCAAGCTTCCGGATTTTCGGGCGCGCTGAATTAGGCGCTCGGCGTTTTTTAGGGCGTGATGTGCTGCAACTGGACAGGTTCTGGAAGGCCTGCATGGATTGGAGGCGGGACCCCGTCAGCTTGCGGACAGCCACGGACATAATCAGTAGTGGCACAGAGAAAGAGCTTTGGTTCCCTGCAGAAGGAGCCTGTTTCTCAAAAACCTGATGTGGCATCACACATGGAATGCTGCCCCAAAAGGGCTGACGAGATGTGTGCGGATGGGGAGATGAGAGCAAGTCGATTTGAGGTACGACGCTGGTTCATGGATATTCTGCAAGTGCATGCTCTAATTGGGTGAAAGCATGCCCATGCTAGCCGATGCCACATATGAATTTACATGAGAGGAGAGTGAGAGGAGCGCACCTCTGTTTCGGACATGTTTTGCGCACAAGAAGACCACGTGACAGGCAGCTTACCTAACACATGCGAGGGCACCTTAGACGAATAGGAAGTTGCTGTCCATGAATTTACATGGGATTCCGATTCAAGTTCCACTCAGAACATTCATATGTCATAGGCTTAGGGGAATTTTCCAGAGGGTGTGGTTTCAGTCATCCCGCAACCATCCTAGCTTCACAGTGCAATGCGGAGAGTGAGAATTGGCCGCGCGCCTTAGTCGCCCCGACATGGCTTCCACAGTGATACGCAGTGATTGCCCTCTCGAGCCCATGGGTATGCTGACTGAGTGTGGAGCGGATATCGAGGAAAGGCAGCCCGGCTCTCGCTGGTGGCGATATAGTGAGCATTGTCGGGGAGAAGAAACAGGTGGTGATTGTGCGGAAAGGGGATGCCAACATGGTGGTGGTTGTCCCGGGCATAGCCAGCAGGTGTCGAGCCCCTGTTGCAGGGATCGCGGGTGAGACTCAACCGCGCGGAGGTAAACAAAAATAGGGGCCACTCCGGACGTTCAGGATATTTCACAGTCCGGCTTTCAGCATGGCATGGTGGCATGGCATCGCACCCGCGGCTTCTGGCAAGCATGCCTAGTTTCGGGGGCCCCCGCTCGCTTGTGAAGCCAGTGGAGGTGGGGAAGCCGGTCGAGCTCCAGTGGAAGATGCAGCTGGGTAGCCCCTTCGGTTGGTGGCCCTTCAGCTGCAGAGAGCAGGGTCTTGAGGGGTCGTGCGATGGAGCGTCTAGCCGCTAGCCTAAGGGACGAAGGGGGAAGGCCGATACAGTTGGTGTGTCAGCCCTGGAGAGTCATGGACATCAGTAGGATTTTGTTTAATGCTGGAGCTAGTTCCACAGGATTGGATGGATCGAGTCTCTTACCTGTGGTCCCTCAAGTCCCTGTAGTACTTTCGATGTCTGGTCAAGCGCCGGACAAATGCGCGGCTGACAGACCTCTGAGGCCGCGAGAGAGAGAGAGAGAGAGCGAGAACTATGCAGAAAAGGAATCCACTAAGTTTCTGTGTCTCACGACTCACGACTTGCCATATTGGGGTTTCCATACCCGTATTTGGTCACTGCGCGATCGGCCAACAAACTAAGTTTCTTGACGACTGTGAGACACCTTGCCAACAGTGTTTCGCACTTGTTGTGGAGCTGACGCATCCCATGGCTCTTGTGGCAGATAGCGCCAGTTGCAGGTTTTGCCACCTCGAAGATCTTTGCGAGGACAGTGACAGCCTCTTTGGCTGCAAAGGGCTCTCAGCTTGACGAGGATGCCAAATTCTAAGCCCAGAGCGCTTCATCCAAAGTCCCAGCCTTGTCGATCACCGAAATCTGCAATTCCAGATGTACTACATAGACTTGCATTCCTGAAGCCCTACAACCATGATACTCGCATCTTTGTGCTGTTGTGGTCCCAAGGCGAGATGGCGCTAGCCTCGGCAATCTCTCTGGTTTAGGGTTCCAGCTCGGTGTGAGGGTTAGGATTCCCAAAGCGTTGATGCCTGCGATCATTGTCGTAGATGTCGCTATTCCGGACGATTGGAACGGCAACAGAATCAAAGGCCCTTGATCCCTAGCCGGGACCCACCGCTAGGCCACTGCGACGCTGATCTTTAAGCACTTCTCACCAAGGTGGGGTCTGCTTTGCTACGTGCCAAGCCATATGATCCTAAGAACCTGCGGGTTCACGAGCTACTACCGATGCATGAAGGCGATGATGCGCGCTCTTGGCATGTCACGCAAGAAGTGATCTCAATCTCAACCACAGTGCTGCCTCCCCAGTCAAAACCCACGAGCACATACGAGCGAGTCCGAGCGCGCTCACACGGACGCACTACTCACTTCGTCACTGACTCACGGACTTACGTGCGCACTCATGCACAAGTTCAAGACTGCGAGATCAAAGGGGCCCAACTTGTGTTGCTGGGTTCCCGAGTAGTACGCTTTTGCCCTTTTTGGTTTAGGGCCCTCTTATTAAAACTGGACATTTGGAAAAACGGTGCCCTTGTTATCAGGGGGTTACTCAGGAACCTAGATGTGAGACGGGCTGATGGCCTAGCATTGAACTCATGCTTCCGCACTTATCACTCGAGCAGGTCGCAGTGGTATCGCCTCAAAGTCCGGGTGGGGGGCCGCGAGGTGGGGATTTTATGCCGGGTCAAGGGGTTCATGTTATAGTGCATTATAGTATACTATAGTAGCTTATGGTATACTATAGTAGATTATATATTATGTGGTAGCCTCATCCCTCATCTTGACAATCAGAATTGCATATTCAGCACATGCACTCAACGCATAGTGCCCAGTGGGAAAAGCAGGTAGAATTCTCTCCGCCATATCATTGCTCAGGGCTTGGGGTGTAATTTAGGGGCTGGACTAATGATAAACCTATACTATTCCAGGGGTTCCTTGTTATAACTATGGTATAATGGCCCCCAGAACCCTATTCTCATTATAAAGGCCCCTTTATTAGCGCTCAAGAAATTACTTGCCACAGCTCCGGCCTCAAGCGTTTAAGTTGTCCGGTACACCCAGCCATGCTTTTGGAAAACTTAGTGATAAAGAACAAGAATAGTATAAACATGGGCGGCAGAATCATATGATTCCTGACTTAGTTTTGTCGCCGGGGGCCTATTTAAATCACCGTGAATCCCTTCAGTGTAAGTTCAGGAACCTCGGATTTTACCGTCGACATTTTGGCCTGTTTCCTTACAGACCAAGCCCTTGAACCCCAAAAATACCGAAGCCTACAGCCTACCACGTAACTATCAAGGTTGTTCCTTAGGCTTCTTGATTTTAGTTTTACTATAGTATACCCCAAAATGCTCTTGGAGTTCAAGGCCCCCTATTTCCAAAGCCCAGCCAGGGTGTTGGTGTATCCGAAGATCGACACCAAAGCTAAGCAAGAAGGCTGAATTGCTTGTTCCCGCCCCGCCTTCGACATGTCATCATTGACACCATAGGACTGTGAGCGATCATCACGATCTCCATTGTCGACTTATCGGAATCTTAGCCAACTTCATAAACAGAATGGAAGGCCCTAAACCCTATCACTTTCCGCTGCTGTGGGTTTTGGACAGCAACCGGGTCATTGCAGATGATGACTTCTTACGATGACGAATTTAAGAGGTACACGACCTCAGCTGTTTCGACACACGGCATGTGTAAGCTGTAAGACTCAAGAGCCCAAAACCTAAACAGAGTCGTATCATCGTATCAGCAGTTTTGTGAAAGGTGCGGCGCAGCGACTTCGGCGGCTTTACCGGCCACCGCCCGAGTTTTGATGGAAAGCGTTTTGCTCGTAGTCTGCGACCAGCAGTTCCAAGACTAAGACATCGGTGTTCTACCTGAGCCTGGAACACCTTCGTTTGCCCTTCTGCGTAGGATTCTGTGGAGATTGCAGAGTGCTTCTCAACCCAGCTGTCGTTTGGTAGAGCCCGCCACATTCGCCACAGCGTCAGGAATTCAAAACTAGTGCCCGTCTCTTGCACAACCATTGTCAAGCAGTTCCTTTCCGAGGATGTTTCATGATTTGCCCAGTTGAGCCCCGGACCCCGGTAGTGATCTCAATGGGGCCGAAAGCTCTTTTTCAGGTGGCCTAAGGGCGGTGACCCCTGAGGAGGAAGCACTGTGGCAGTGCTTTCTCCCTTCCAAAGTGCTGGATGTATAGGCTCCATTGGTCCATGACCTCGAAGGAGCGTCTGAAGATATTGTGTGGCCTGCAAACCGTAGGTTCACTCCCACATTCGCGGCAGTTTTCCATACGTTCATGCCAGAATGGAGATGGCCAACGGCAGTCTGCAAATGCCACGACTAGGTGGCCCGCAGCTGTTTTTGTAAGTGGCTAAGACCAGAGAATCACCTGATCAGGCCAGCCTCACGGCGCCAAATTCTTTAGTGCTTGGCAGGGTGCTCCAGCAAGGCCCCTTATTCGGGTCCACTCGAGAAGCAACCACGAGCTGTGCCTGCTTCGCTGAGCCACCACGCATGAGTGCTAGCCGAAAGCCCCTTTAAGCTATCGTTATTGCCATGACTGCCACGTCCAACTATCCCACGTGCTGTCTTACTGCCAGGGTGCCGTGCTGCTGCTCTACGACGGCGACGACAGCAGCAACTACTCGTAGTTGTTCCACTAGAGTACTACAACTACCACGACCACGACCACCACCACCACCACCACCACCACCACCACCACCACCACCACCACTGCCACTATTACTACCACTACTACTACTGCTACTACTACTGCTACTACTTCCACTACTGCTACTACTGCTACTACTACTACTACTACTACTACTACTACTACTACTACTACTACTACTACTACTACTACTATCAGTCATGCAAGAGGCAAAACTACTACTACTACTACTACTGCTGCTGCTGCTGCTGCTACTACTACTACTACAACAACTACTACTACAACAACAACTACTACTACTGCTACTACTACTGCTGCTGCTGCTGCTGCTACTCCTTCTCCTGCTTGCTAATCTGGCAATCTTGGTCAGCAAGTGGTGCAAGTGGCGCAAATTCAAATGGCGCGAGTGGTGCAAGGCAAGATGACCAAGATTGCCTTTCCCTCCGTTTTTGGCTTCTAGGAAAAATGGAATGCACAAGCAATGGTGCGTTTAGCTTAATCAAGGAGCTGAAAGTACTGGCAGGGCCGAGGAAATCGTGCATCATCAGCTGAGGGTGTCAGAAATGACAAAGTGGTGTTTGAAAGTTTGGGATACTTGTAGTCTGCTACGGGCACGCGTCTTTCTCTGTCTTACACAGACATTCCACATAGGAAAGCAGAAGGAACAGAACTCGATCAAACATGAGATGCAGGGGTACAATCAAAGAAAAGATTGTGCGATTAGCGACATGAAGTGCCGAAACCGAGCAAATCGTGCATATTTCAGCTCAAGGTGTCAGAAATCACCCAGTTCACAAAGTAGTTTTTGATGCTGCGGGATTTCACCATGCAAACAACACCATGAAGAACGGCACCATGCATCCATCACCATGAAGAACTGCAACAGGACTACTACTACTACTACTACTACTACTACTACTACTACTACTACTACTACTACTACTACTACTACTACTACTACTACTACTACTACTACGAGCCACCCCCCCTACCAACTACCCCGTTTACATACTCTTGTAACACACATCCGTTTTACTCGGAATTTACAGCACTTTCGTCATGTAGGAACATCTTACGAAGCCTCAAACTTCACCTGCGAGCTTTCAAACTCCAGCATCCGATTCTGGACTTGCTTTTGGGGGGGGGTGGGGGGTGGGGGTGTGCGGGAAGAATGATGACGACATTGCGAACAACATCTCCGGAAGAGCCATTTTACTCGGTATTTGCAGTACTTTCGTGACGTCAGCCATCTTATATAGTCGCCCAGCCTACCTCGGGACTCTGCTACGTTGTCTTTTGCCTTTGCGAGGGCTTTCAGCGAAGACTCGAAATTTGGTGGGGGAAAGCTTGTTTTACTCGGTCTTTAAGGTACTTTGCTCATGTCACACTCCATTGCTAACCGCGAGTTTTCAAACGCCAGCATCCGATTCTGGACTTGCTTTTGGTGGGGTTTGGGGGGTGCGGGAAAATGATGACGACATTGTTACGCCGACACCCCGAACAACATCTCCGGTATTTACAATACTTTCGTGACGTCAGCCATCTTATATAGTCGCCAAGCCTACCTCTGGACTCTGCTACGTTGTCTTTTGCCTTTGCGAGGGCCTTCAGCGAAAACTCTAAATTTTGGTGGTCATAACTGTTCGAGGCTGCCTTTACGTTATCAAAATATCAGCCCCCCCCCCCCCCCCAAAGCAACGTATGCAAAAGGGGTAGTGGGTAGCGGGGGGGGCCGTACTACTACTACTACTACTACTACTACTACTACTACTACTACTACTACTACTACTACTACTCCTAGTCCTCGTAGTCCTCCTAGTTCTACTACTCCTCCTAATCCTACCACCGCCACCACCATCGCCACGACGTCTACTTCTACTTCTACTACTACGACGACGACGACTACTACTACTCCTACTACTCCTACTACTGCTACTCGTACTCCTACTCCAACTTTACTCCTACTTTTACTGCTGCTGTTGCTGTCGCTGCTGCTGTCGCTGCTGCTGTTGCTGCTGCTTCTGCTGCTGCGACGACTGCTACTACGACTACGGCGACAACCACTAGCGCTACTGCTGCTGCTGCTACTTCGATCATTGCCACCGCTCTTTCTTCTCGCGTAGTCTATTAATTGCAACGGACTTCAAAGCTCTACTAAATCAAAAGCTCAGTACTAGGTTTCGCTGTTGCTAGTCCTACCACCGTGAGGGCGACGATGAGGATGTCGACGACGACGCTGCTGCTGCTGATGCTAACCCTGGTTTTGCCACTGCTACTGTACCACCCTGCACGACCTTCGCCAGTACTATAGGCAGTATTCTTGGGGCAAGTCTTCAGGCCATAAGCCATGGCTCAGCAAGCTGCGGACAGCAAGTGGCTTCCGAAAGCAGGACACTTCCTTCAAGTTTCGGGCTGCAAGAAGCGGAGGCCCTCGTTTTCCAACCTTCGAGGCAACTTTCAGGCGGACGAGTCTTGGCTGCTCTTATGTTGCGAGCTTTTGATGTGTTGTTGGCAAAATTCGTCTCGGCCAGCTGCAGTAGTGCTGCTGCTGTTGCCGCCGCTGCTGCTGCGGTCCTTCATCGTCGTTTTTGTCATCCAGTTCATCACGATCTTCACCGTCTGAGCCGGGATGGTGAACATCATTGACATGGTGGTGGCATTTGTGATGCTGGTCATCATCGTCATCATCACCATCATCATCGGCCGTTTCATGTGCCTCTGAGCTCTCGGCACCATGAAAGAACAGTATCATGATCAGCATCACCAACGTTTGGGTCACCTGTGCCATGATCATCATCGATGGCCGTGTCGAAGCGGCGTAGACATCGACACCTTCTGCTAGCCCCGTCTTGGTGCCCTACCTCTCGAAGTGACACATCCTGAACTGATGCCGGTCTTGACATTCCGTCGGAGGCGTCCTCCATGTCTGGCCAAGAATCTTTTGCCTCAACTGACTCAGAGACTCTAAGCCAGCATTTCTGAAATCCTAGCAGTGGTCCAGTTTTCAAGCACCCCTTAAACCCTAAATCCAAGAGACCGCCAAGGAATATGCGCTGCCTCATGCTCCATGGCTGAAGGCTTTGTGAGTGCCACGAAGTGTTGATGTGGGAGTTTCAGTAAACAGGAGACCCGCATTTAGACGCCGAAGTAGTGAGACCCTTACTACAATAGGGACCCCGAAAAAAGCGCCCTATTATCTGACACCCCCATATCTCACATGATGTCCGCAGAAGGACGGTTGGGCGAGGAAAGTGCATGATGCCTGCTACTGTCGCGAGGAAGCATGTGGGCACTGGGCTACTTGGGAGCTGCCTTGAACTTCTAAAGCATCTGCCGGCTCAAGAAGCAGCCGAGCGGTGCAGAAATCGGCCGGCACTCATACAAAATAATGTGACGGAGAATAATGTTAATCTACTGTATCATACGATGTATGCTATATGGACTGCACAAACTCCTGACGGGCTTTGTTGTGTTTGGATTGGGCCCCGTTTCAAGATTCGTTGGGAGTACCGCTGCACGGCATGAGACCCAGCGCCAAATATCCGCGACTTCTGCAGGGATTGCTGGACACCGCGGATGTACAGTATTTGAAAGGTTTTTTCGATCTTCACGTGAAAACGGAGTGGGAGAAGAACGAAGCCTTTGCAGCTTCCAAGAATCGACCAAAGCCCCGGCGCTCACTGGAGTACTACACTTTATTGAGGCATCTGCACTCAGAACCACGAGATCCTTCACTGGAGCGCATCGTGTCAAAAGTGTATGCCGCCATTGAGAAGAAGCTAGGGCCCGGATTTGTGATCGTGCACGATTTTTGGTCATGGCGCACGCCTGAGAATGTGCCCGCCGAGTTCATTCACCATGATCCGGATTTTTGGGTTGCAGGTCGGCACGACGGGTTCAACCTTTGGATTCTGCTGGACCACGCGGACATGTCCCACTCTTTCGACATTCTCGTCGAGGAGAAGAACCCAAAGCTCTATGAGATCGTGGGCGAGAAAGCGGGCCGGCTATTGCCAGAGAGGGACCCGAAGAAGAAGCAAAACTGTCCTGGGCTCTTGTTCTGGGATCCTTTAAGCCGTTGGCCCTTGCTCTATGAGTATGAAGCCACGCGGACTTTGGCCATGGTCCTGGGCGTCGGCTTCAACATGTTTTGGGAGAAGAGTCAGCAGGCGGCCATGAAGCTTAAGAAGCTGCTGCCAACCTGGGCATTCCGTTGCTTTCTGTTCTTCACCGGTTGGTGCTTCAGGCTCACACCTCTTCCGAAAGGCTTGGAGCTGAAGATGGAGCGCTTCAACATGAAGGTAGGGGATGCCTTGGTGCTCCGGCAGTACGAGATGCACACCACGGACCAAGACCCTTTGCAGCCTCACCAGTTCCGTTTGGCAGTGGGTGTGAAAGTGCTCCGCCAGGCACCAATCATCCAGTACTGCTATACGGGGCCGGCCTCCCGGACTCGGAGGACCTACCCTTGCCTCCGCTGGGGTCTTTGGGAGCTCCTGCCGGACTTCTACCGTCAGGCAAACTTGGACTTCAAGCCCTACCCAAGCACCACCCTCACGCGCGCCCTCTTCGCCGCCACCGCCGAGGTGGCCCTTGGGGATGCTGAGACGAAGGCTTGAAGGGCAGGGTAGTTCGGTAGTTCTCGCCCATCGCTGAGAGTTGCAGCGCCTTCAGCTGAACATGGCTCTTGCACTAGTACCTTGTGTCCGAAGTCGTGGCATGCAGTCATGATCAGCGCTTCCTCAGAAATCCTGATATTGGGCCTTATAAACCTATAGACACTCCTTGGGCATTATTTCTGCCGCTTCGTGTTCTGACTGTGGTCACGAACATTCACCCGATAACAGTAGACAACATCGATTCTCTGAGATTGGGGTGGTTTGCTGGCACGATTTCAGCAAGAATAGGCATGTAGAATCATGGGTTGTGCAATCACCAGCAAATACAGGCTGCAACACCTCCGCGGGAGTAGGAGCATGTCGGGCTTCTATGGGTGAACTTCGTTGTCGGGCAGGGTTTCGTGTAGTTTTCTATAGGTGGTCCGGCTATGGGGCTCAGTCCAGCCTCCATTTGTGCAGCTCTTGCTGCTGGTGGCGGCCTGGCTTCCTTGGCTTACGCTTGCTTCTACAGCTGGCTTTGGGACTGCCACCTCCGAGCATATCCGGCCTATCGTGGCAAGTACCCGCGGCTGTTTTGGGATGTCGCCACGCATATCCTTACGCTGAAAAGGCTCTGGGGATTCGCGACAAGCCCTCTCAGGAAGCTGCCAGACTTCTACATTGTCGGCTGCCCCAAATGTGGCACCAGTGCCATCTACCGATATCTCGCCCTTCATCCGCGAATCGTAGAGCCCGCCTTTAAGGAGTCCCGCTTTTTGTGGGGCTTTCTCGGCTTGAACCTCTCGGCACTTCGCTACAGGTCGATCTTCCCCATATGGTGGCGGGGGGAGGGACACTTGACCTTCGATGCCGATTGTACAATTGCCGCAGCACCCAAACTTGCCGCTGCGCTTTTTCACCGGCTGACCCCAAAGGCCAAGATCATCATGTCCTACCGTGACCCTGTCGAAGCGGCATGGTCCATGTACAAGTTCCGATCACGCATCAAAGGACGTTTCGACTTCGGCTGGACGTTTGACCAGATGTTCAAGATGGAGGCGGACTTGGACGCCTCTCCATCTTGGGCCCACATGGATACCCTGGCTGCTGCATTGGATGCTGGCGCTAGTTCAGTTACGATTACTCCCCAGATGGGTTCTTGTGGAGTGAACTCCACCTTGCTGCGACCGCAGCGTGTTGCTGACGTGCTTGAGGCCTTTGAGTCACGCTTTGGCCGCGAGAACGTGTTGCTCGTCGACTTTGCCGTGCTTTGGATCAACAAGGGTGTGTCGTGCTGCGTAGAGGTAGGCAGTTTGTGGTGAGTGTACCCATACAAATGTTGAGTGTGAGTCCCTCATTCCAGGACCTAGCCGCAGACGCACAGCAGACAGTGCGACGCATCTATGACTTCCTGGGCGTGGAGTCCACGATTGAACTCCCTCCACTACACAAAGTGGAGCCCGAAGATGTGTTGGATATGGTCGTGGAACCTAGTGCATCATGGCAATCAATACCTGCAATCAGTTGTTGTTGGTTCGGATGCCCTGTAAATGTGCAAACCGATGTGACAAAAGCACTGGTAGGTACAGTGAATCGCGAGGATCGCATGCCGAAGACATTGCTGCCGTCGGTGCTGAAGGCGTGCACAATTTCCTCTTTTCTCGCATGCACAACACATAGGTATGCTTAGCAGTTCGTGTGGCCCACATGCCTTCAACATCGGTATTCATAGTGTTCTGAGTTTTCAGCATGCCGACAACATTGGGGATGGGGGATGTGATGCCCCCTGACTAGGAAGCACCGCCTAAAGCCCCTCCTTCCAACAAAAAAGGCCGGAACATAAAACGGGCCATGCATGTTGGTTCTTTTCGGCCGCATCGGAGCCAAATTAGATATCTGTCGGGCGCGCTTCCCAGGGGAACTGCAGCATTCAGTCCTGACATTCTGGAAATCGAACACCATGCAACTACTTCCAGTACAATGTCACTCGCTGTGATGTTTCCTGCGCATGGCGCTTGTTCCACACATGCCATGCGAAGCCCACTCCACAAATAGCAAAGAAAGAGACGCTGTCATGCGCCGCGGGCGATTACAGAGCATCGCGCATCGTTGTCGTGGTCGTCGTCGTTGTCGTCGTCATCGCAGTTGTGGTTGTGGTGGTTGTGGTGGTGGTGGTGGTGGCGGCGGGGGTGGTGGTGGTGGTGGTGGTGGTTGTGGTTGTGGTTGCTGTTGTTGTTGCCGTTGCTATTGCTATTGCTATTGCTATTGCGGTTGCTGTTGCTGCTGCTGCTGCTGCTGGTGCTGTTGCTGTTGCTGTTGTTGTTGTTGTTGGTACAGACAAAAACAGCAGCCCGTACTTGTTGTTAATTAGAAGCAATTGGGAATGCTTCCGGCGACCGCACAGGGTGCCTGTAGAGTTTTGGGAAGTTCAAGCCATGCCTGCCCCATGATAGAAATGCGGTGTAGGCTGGGTGGTTGTTGTAAAACGGGGGGGGTCAAAACAACAGACGGGGCTCCAGTTTTTGCGTCTACTACAGGGGGTAGAGACAAAGACACCAGCGAAATCAGGACTTTGTCTCTACCCTGTGTAGTAGAGGCAAAAACTGGAGCCCCGTCTGTTGTTTTGACCACCCCCCCTTTACAACAACCGCCCACATTACACCACATTTCCACCACAGGTATAGGAATCTGCGATATCCAGAAGGGGTTCTGATGGGTGTTGGAAGGGCTTGTCTGGAATTTTGAGGGGTTTGCATTGGATACCCGTACACTCAAAACTATAGTTACCAGTTACTATACCGTAGTTTGTTCTGGCCTCGCAAATGCATATTCTGCACGGCGGGGAACTGAAATACACACCAAATCCATTGAACATACACACCAAAATCATTGAAATACAAACCAAATCCACGGAAATACACACCAAATCCACGGAAATACACACCAAATACACACCAAATCCACCGAAATACACATGAAATCCACTGAAATACACACCAAATCCATTGACATACACACCAAATCCATTGAAATACGCGCGCAATCCACTGAAATACACGCGAAATCCACTGACATATACACGAAATCCATTGAAATACACACGAAATCCATTGAAATACACACCAAACCCACTGAAATACACACGAAATCCATTGAAAATACACACCAAACAGTATACATCACAGGCATCCACAGGCACTGTGTTGTTGTTGTTGTTGTTGTTGTTGTTGTTGTTGTTGTTGTTGTTGTTGTTGTTGTTGTTGTTGTTGTTGTTGTTGTTGTTGTTGTTGTTGTTGTTGTTGTTGTTGTTGTTGTTGTTGTTGTTTTGTTGTTGTTGTTGTTGTTGTTGTTGTTGTTGTTGTTGTTGTTGTTGTTGTTGTTGTTGTTGTTGTTGTTGTTGTTGTTGTTGTTGTTGTTGTTGTTGTTGTTGTTGTTGTTGTTGTTGTTGTTGTTGTTGTTGTTGTTTGTGTTGTTGTTGTTGTTGTTGTTGTTGTTGTTGTTGTTGTTGTTGTTGTTGTTGTTGTTGTTGTTGTTGTTGTTGTTGTTGTTGTTGTTGTTGTTGTTGTTGTTGTTGTTGTTGTTGTTGTTGTTGTGGTTGTTGTGGTTTTTGTGGTTGTTGTGGTTGTTGTGGTTGTTGTGGTGGTTTGGTGGTTGTGGTGGTTGTTTGTTGTTGGTTGTTGGTTGTTGGTTGTTGTTGTGGTTGTTGCCGCTGATGTTGCTGCTGCTGCTGCTGCTGATGCATGGCATGTTCTTGCAAGTTCGTGCCGCAGTGTTCAGAGGAAGCAGGCCACCACTGGTACCGGTGCTCCTACTTGTCTAGCTTGTGGAAATCTGTCGGGTCTTGGTTGGCCAGGCTTCCACATGGCAAACAAGTCTAAGCATGCCGTGTCATGCACTGGTGCCTATGAGCTTAGCTGCCAAGGCAAACGGCAACGCATCTTCGTCGTGTCCGAAGGAGATTGTTGAGCGACTGAACATGTACTATGCCGCTCAGACGCATCGCTTTACAGCGATGCTGTCCGAAAGGTAGCCGGAGGCTGGAGCACTCCAGTACAACGTGGTTTTGGTGTTGGACGAGACAGGCAGGCGGGCACAAGCACTCCAATAATACATATATCAAGCACTGACATGGAGACGTAAGTACTCCAATCGGGCTCCAAAAAAGAACCCGCCCCAGTGTTGATGGCATTTGCCATCGTGATTTGCGGGCTGGGTGTCGAGGTTGTATTTAGTGATATTTACTGCCCTGATCTGCCTATTGCAGGCGTCGGAGACAGTTGGAAAAAATCTGCGATGCGACAGCTTGCCACAGTAACTGCCTAGCTCCTTGAACTCCGCAACCTCGCCAGCTCGCCAGGAACGTGCGACAACATTGCTGCTTGACTTTGTCCTGCGGCCTCACAGGCTCAGCTCAAGCCACAGAGCCTTCGCCACTTATGGAGAGCACAGAGTGGACCATAGTTCACGTGGAGCGGCCATGGAAAGGGCGCACGGAGCCCCTAAAGCTGCTTTTGGAGGACGCCGGCGTCCCCTACGCTGTGCGCTGCGAGGAGTTGGGTCCTGCCATCTCCTTCGACCTGTGGCGAGGGTCTGAAGCCGCAATCACAGTGGACAGCACTCCCTTCCCAGCCTCTCGGTTGCCCGAGCTCTATATGGGAGTTTCCGAAATTGGGGGTACCTTATTTCAGGGGTCCTTATAATAAGGACCCTACTATTTAGGGTACTTAATAAGGGTCCGCTATTTTCGGAAACTCCCCTATGCCCCGCCCTACACCCTGCAAGAGTGACAGCAAGCGATCTCAAAACAAGTCTCTTGTGCACGCACGGGCGCTGTACCCCGCAACCTCCAGGTGATGTTTCCTCCAGCAATTTGGCATCGACCTCATGATGGTGAGGAGGTCTTCGTGAACACTCAGATCGCCTGTATGAGGTGGAATGCAAGCACCCATCGAAGCCTGGACATCATGTCGGATCAGCGCAAGTCTGACCAGGTACTTGGGCCAATGCTTGGGCTATGCGCCTTCCTCTGCCGCTGAGGGTGCACGGGCCGACCAAATCGCGCAGAATGCGGTGGACTATTGGGTTGAGGGGCGGGTTTGTTTTCATCCCCTGGACAGTTCCCATTTGGGGTCGTACTCCTCACAGAGACTTGTCATCTTTGCTTAGCTGTGCGCTGCGCTTCTCCTTCTGCTGTCTTCATCTTGTTTTCCCATTTCCTTTCAAAGCAATCATCAGGAAAGAGGCTGCGGAAAAGTCTTCCCAAGAGTGGAGCCGCACGCGCATGCGGCTTTGGCTGCAGCACTTTGAGACGCTCCGCCGCACAAATGGCAGTTACCCCAAGAAGCCCTAAACATGATGCCAAGTCGGAGTCTTCTATATATAATACACGATACTATATTAGTATACTACAATGTAACTTAAAGTCGGAGTCGTCAGGAAGGTCGTGTCGCGCGACCCTGGGCCACGGAAGCCCTGTGCCGGCGGCGCCTCGGTCACTTTCGCCGACTTCCTCCTCTTCCACGTCCTGGACGCTACCGAGGCTCAGGGGGGGGGGGGTCTGGGGATGTCCCGGCTCCTGATACCGTAGTCTACTCTTAGATTATGGTAGGTTATAGTTTGCTATAGTAGATTATAGTATATTATGGTATACTATAGTATATTATTGTATGTTATAGCATGGTATGCGATTTGATAGTATCTTATACTTTCGAGCTCCGAGGCTCAGTTCAACTCCGAGCACTTTTCCTTCGCCTGGGACGCGGCGGGGTGCGAAGGTCTCAAGGCCTACAAGGCGCCTCTCCTGGGCAGAAGCAGGGCTTCCTCGACAGGTGTTTCCACAATATTAATTATATATATATATATACACACGGTATGTGCATATCTAGATATTTGCTTATGTTTGTGTGTGTATATGTATATATACATATAATGTATAGATAGACAGATAGATAGATCGTCTTTTTCTCAAATGTTATTGGGAGGAGTGGATGGCTTGCCGGCCAAAGCTCGAGGCTTACTTCAAGTCGGAGAGGCGGAAGCCCTGGGCCGGGGACTCCATGATGTGACGACGCGAAAGCGAGCGAAAGCATCTCGAAGCGCGAAGAGTGCGTGCGCAAAGAGCCGGCTGAGAGAAAATCTGCAGGGCTGCGTTTGGGGGGGAATACAGTAGGCAGGGAGGGGAGACTACAGACGATCCAAAGCATCGCAGACTTTGGCAGAGATTTGTGCCCCATGTGGCATCGCAACACAGTGTAGTGACTACAGGCTACCTGGCAGGCCTACAAGGCCACAGCGGGGCTCAACTCCCACACTCGCAAAGTGTATGTACGTTTATCCGGATTCACGGATGGATGGCTGGCTGGATGGATGGATGGATTGGAAATAGATGCACGGATGGACGGACGGATGGATGGATGGGTGGATGGACTACGCCATCCAAAGGTCAGCGAGGTAACGCTGGTGACCACCCACCCATCCGAAGGTATGCAACCTGCGCCGGTGACCACCCTATGCAAATGAATGCATTAATGACTTAGTTAATGAATGAGAATGAAGAAGGGAAGGAACATCGCAACAGCCAGGCATACTATCTCCTTCTACCAATGCAGTCAAGGCAGTACTAGCGTCAGGCATAGAAAGCAAAGGAGCTTTCTAGTGCCAGCTGCGGCCAGCGACGTCGTGATTCCTTTCACCTTGAACGTGGGACCAAGCGTGCTTCTCTAGACTCAGGTGCTGAAACTGCCTCCAGCAGAGGAAGGAAGCCAGGGAGAAGACTGCTTTCATGTGCACCCCAAGGAGAGTGCTTGACATTTCAGGAGTTTGTCGGGCTGTTTGCACGACATGTTCTGGTGCTCGCGGGAGTGTTCACGGTTCCTTTGGTGTTTGCAGGTTGGCGTGTACGCGTGATCGGGTCAGGACCCCGAAATCCTGCAAACCATCTGAACACCGAAGACTTGCTGTGCAGAATCCCTGTTGCCATCACAGGCCTGGGATTGGGAATGTGCTAGTTCCACAGTGTTCCATTTGCGGCAACATCCGCTGAAACAGTACCTGGACATGCCTTGCGCCCTCCCAGCTACCAGTGCCCTTCATTTGGTCAGTGCTTGTCCAAGCCGGCGCAGCGCAATGGCACCATGCCCCGGGCCTGAGCGCCTCGCGGCCTCACCTGTCTGGATGGCTTCGGATGGCAGCGCACGAACCTTGGAGGCCGGCAGGAAAGCCTGAACTTCAGCCCTCTACAACGTCAAACCCACGGAAATTACATCAAGTTGTGTGGGGGGCTTCACTTGTCTGTTGAGGTTAAAGTGGCCGACGACCCAGAATCCAAATCCAACACATTCAGTCCAGAGCCTATTAACATCCAGACCTTGAAGAAGAAAGAAGTGGTAGTACTAGAGGTAGTGGTAGAAGCAGAAGTAGCAGCAACAGTAAGAGTCGAAGTAGGAGTAGGAGTACTAACACTACTGCCAGTACTAGTAGTAGGCACCCCCCACCTACCAACTACACTTGCTCCTACCCATGTTAAGACGACATCCATTGTGTTCAGTATTCACAGAACTTTCCTCCTGTAGAATCATCTTAAAAAGCCTCAAAATCGACTCGTCGAGTTGGCAAACTCGAGCTTCGGATTTTGGACTTGCTTTTTGGGGGTGGTGGGGAGGGGGGGATGATGACGACATTGCTACGCAGACACCTTGAACAATATCTCCAGAAGAGTCGTTTTACTCGGTACTTTCGTGATGTCGGACCATTGTATATCGTCACCAAACCTACTTCTGGACGTTGCGAACTCGACCTTGGGATTTCGGAGACCTTTCGGCAAAAACTCGAAATTGGTTGGGGGGAAGCTTTTTCGGAACAATATCTCCACACCCTAGGGCGCACACACAACTTCAAACACAAACCCTCCTACGTAGAGGTCTGGGCTTCAGGGGTGTTGGCGAGCCTCTCCCACGTACAGCTGGCGTTTTTGGTTTCGATGTTTAGAAGATGTTGTGCTTCAGGTTTTAGGAGTGTTAAATCTTTCTTGGGAGCACTTATAGGCTTTGCACGGTATTTACAGCGTTTTCGTACTATCCGACCACATGTAGTTTAGGTTTTGTTCCTCCCGTCGAGTTTGCAACTCCATTTGCTGTCGCAGTTTTGGGGTTTGAGCCTCTGCAACGTCACCGGCTGTGACACTTAAGGAAACTGCGCCTCTGCAGCTTTTGTAGCTGTCACAGATAAGGAGCCTAAGCCCTTGCATCTTCTGCAACTGTCCGAGTTAGGGCGCTGCGCAGCCCGGATGGAGCAAGTGTAGTTAGGATGGGGGTGGTGGCTACTAGTAGTAGTAGTGGTAGTAGTCGTAGTAGTAGTAGTCGTCGTCGTGGTGGTGGTGGTAGTCGTAGTAGTCGTAGTAGTAGTAGCAGTAGTAGTAGTAGTAGTAGTACTGGTACTGGTACTGGTACTGGTCCTGCTCCTGCTCCTGCTCCTGCTCCTGGTCGTGGTCCTGGTCCTGGTCGTGGTCGTGGTGGTGGTGGTGGTGGTGGTGGTGGTGGCAGTGGCAGTGGCAGTGGCAGTGGCAGTGGCAGTGGCAGTGGCAGTGGCAGTGGCAGTGGCAGTGGTAGTGGTAGTGGTTGTGGTTGTAGTGGTAGTGGCAGTGGCAGTAGCAGTAGCCGTAGCGGTAGTAGTAGTAGTAGTAGTAGTAGTAGTAGTAGTAGTAGTAGTAGTAGTAGTAGTAGTAGTGGCAGTGGTAGTGGCAGTGGCAGTGGTAGTGGCAGTGGCAGTGGCAGTAGCAGTAGCAGTAGCCGTAGTAGTAGTAGTAGTAGTAGTAGTAGTAGTAGTAGTAGCAGCAGCAGCAGCAGCAGTAGTAGTAGTAGTAGCAGTAGTGGTAGTGGCAGTGGTAGTGGCAGTGGCAGTGGCAGTGGCAGTAGCAGTAGCCGTAGCCGTAGCCGTAGCCGTAGTAGTAGTAGTAGTAGTGGTAGTAGTAGTAGTAGTAGTAGTAGTATTCGTGGTCGTGGTCGTGGTCGTGGTGGTGGTGGTGGTGGTGGTGGTGGTGGTGGTAGAAGTAGTGGTTGCAGGTAGCACGTAGTAGGTAGTGGTTAGAAGTAGGAAGTACTGGTAGGTAGAAGCAGATAGTAGGTAGTGGTCGTGGCAGCGGCAAGTGGCAGTGACAGTGGTAGGGGTAGTCGTCATCGTAGCAGATCGTAGTGGGAGGCCGAGGAAGAGGAGTAACAGTAATAGCAGCAGTCATTAGCCGTCGTCGTAGTGGTGTCGCGGCCACGTCAGCGTCATAAGCTTAACGACATCATGCGCAAGATTCAAGCTGGAGATTTGGCTTGGACTTGTCCCATGGCGCGGCTTGCATCTGCAAAGCTTGTGAGGTTGATCAGCACCCAGTGCGATCAGCAGCAGCCGAAGGCATGCGCAGCCGTGGAGCTGTCGGCAATCCCAAAAGGTCCGGCGGCTCTGCATTTATGCTGAATGGCCTTTTGCTAGTTACAGTGGTGATCTTTGGCTGCGCAAACATCATCTCCAAGCAGATTGCAGCTCAGCCGCTGAAGCGCGTCTTGCCAAGAATGCGTGCATTTAGCCAGCAATAGCAAAGCGGAGCTGAACAGCAAAAAGGCCGTAGGGTTCCAAACAAGCACCGAACCCTGAACCCTCTTCTAACTTTTTGAGGCTCCTATAATAGAAACAATAAGCAGGCACAGCACAACACCCAAAGACCTGGTGTACTCCCAGACATCGACTTGTTGACATGCAGACCGCAGGTTACAGTTATGTGCTGACACTGGCCGTGCAGATCGCGTACCTGCCGCTGTACTGGTGTCCTGCTCCAAAAACAGCAGTACTGTCTCTAAGACGCGACGATAGTACGCGACGATTACGCTATTTCTACTACGATGATGCATACTATGACTATCACTACGATGACGATTAATACGTACTACTCCCTTCCCCTTTAGATTAAATCCCCCCTCCTCCCCCTAATATTGAAACCTGACTTCCGGGCTCCGGTTCTAATTTCGGGGGGGGGGGGTCGGGCATCCGGGTATGGGTCGGATAGGGGGTAATCAGATAAATGTAGACACAACGGCCGACAGTCAGGCAACACCAAACCTGAAGTTTTTAAGCCCTAAACCCTGAAGCCGCGGTACTTTCGGTTTTGTCTCGGATCGAGACCTACACCGATTCTGGACAGTGCCAGTCTTGAGACAGCAAAGTGACCGACTTTCGGTTTCTCACTACCTAAAGCCCGAAACCCGAAAACCCAAAGGCCCTAAACTTTAAGCCTTGAGCATCTTCCAGCTCTTTGGCCCGAAGCCCTAAGTCCTGGTCCTTTCGATTTAGTACTACTCTAGTCTTGGCTCTATGAACATTTCATACAATCCAAGCTCCCCCTGCCGATTTTAGTGAACTTTCAACTGTGTACCCGAAACCTCGAGATTCCCGCGGGCGGAGGTTTTAGTATAAGGGGGCTATTATTAGGGGAAGCAAGTACTGCTACTACCAGAGTACGACTACAGCTACTACGATGACCTCTGCTAGACCACGATTACCACTAGCATTTAGCTGCTGTACCGTAGGTCAATCCTCGGGATTTTGGTGCTGGTTGGCGCAGTCCCGCTGGAGCAGTTTCGCTTTGTTTGGCAGCGGCATGGATCTAGTGCCCCTGGTTTGGCTTTCTTCGCAGCTTCTGCACTGGGCCAGCAGCTAAGCCTGGACACAGTGAGCCATATTCTTGCAGCTCTTGTACTGCATGTGTTGCATTACTTGCAAGGGCGGGCATGAAAGGAGCGGCGGAGCAGCAACTGAAAACCGCGCAGAAGCAAATTCAAAAGCTAGAAAGGATAAGTCGGCAACAACGAACACGAATGCGAAGACGAGAGCATGCTAGCACCAACAGCCACTTTTCTTGAATCCAGCATAATTCATCTTGAACCAGTTGGCCAGCACTGTGACCAGATTCGACCGGACAGTTCATCCAGAAAAGTGCTGCCATCATGTGGTATCTACGTTTCTCAGAATGTAGTACCTTTTGCACACCCCAGCAAATACACCGGTCCAGGAATACTGCGGCTGGGCACTCCAGGGAATTGGATCACAGGCAAGAGACGGGCTTGGGAGGAGGACGCGTCATTTCAAAGTTTAATAACCACACACTTGGTGGAATGACAGCAAGCATGGCAATAAGCGCGTGCCATGTTGAAAGGAACCCACCCCTGTCAAATCGCAGCCTGCAGTGCTGGTGCGAGCCGGTAGAGAGGGACATGGGTACCCATCATTGCCTAATGTAGTAGTAGTATGTCCGGATAGAGGCCATGCAAGGATTCTATTCCCGGGGTCCATTGAATCGGGTTCCTTAAAAACAGGGTCTACTTCCAAGCTACTTCCCGGGCTTTATATGTATTTTTATGTATAGAAAAACGACGACGACGACGACACGGGCAGCCTTTGGATGCACCCTGTCTTCATCCGAAGACCACAAGCCACGTACCGATCAAAGAGGTGGGTCTGACCCTGTCGTTCAGAATCGACTATGTGGGGGTTTCCGAAAACAGGGGACCCGAATATAGCACCCTAAATAGTAGGATCCTGAGGACCCCAGAATAAGGTACCCCTAATTTTCGGAAACTCCCATATCAGTTTCGCCCAATCAGCTCAAGACTCGAGTTGCTCATGGGGACAAGAGGGGGGATTGCACTCTCAGTGTGCATGGTGGAGCCAGCGATCCTTTCTGGTGACTGCTGGCGATTTCCTTCCTACCCCTCCCCCGTCCGAAAGAAGCAGAAAGACATCATCCCTGTACGGAACATACAAGAGAACTCCGGTTTGGTCCTTCCGGCTTTGGCTGTCAATGAACCATGCCTCGGACATGGAGTAAAACGCTGCATCACGCAGCTCCCCAAAGAAGTGGAGACCCTCACCAGCACCGACGACTACGTGCCAGACTTTGTCAGTGAAGAGATATGAGCGCAAATGTGGCCACGCAATAGGAGCCTGATGACATCCATGCCCATTTGCTGAAACGGTTGGGCCAGCATACTGGCTCCATGCGCTGTCACAGTAGCAAATGTTCACCGTGAGTACTATGGAAAGGCGCCTTGAGGAGAGTGAAGAGGACTCTGACACGAGAGGAAGCACGTGGAAAAGGGGTATACCATATTATATATACACACATTTGTAAGCACAGACATATATCTGTTGCACCCGCACACATGTTTATGCATAGATGTGTAGAGTTTTTTGCCCGGGCCCGGCTGCTGCACCGGCCCAGGAGATGCCCTGGGCGACGGCATCCATGCGATCTGCACGGACCATATAAGTGGGCCTCTTCAAAGCCTCGCGAACTCCTTCATCTCGATTTTTATCGCCATCCTCTCCATGTCTTCTCCTGAGACGTGTATGTAGCAGCGTTTTGCACACCGCTTATGCGTTGAACTGCGTTTGCGAGGTGTGTCTTTCAAGAGCGCTACTCTCTGATGCAGTGCTTGGCTCTTTTGGCGGTGCATCGCCTGCTTTCCAAAAGGGGTTGAGAACAGAGCTTGAGAATGCTTCAGACCTCTCGCAGTGCCAGGTGCTTTCGGCTGTGGCCGCTCGGCTCTGCCCTCAGTTTGAGAGCATGGCAAAATGACATCCAGAAGCCAGGTGCTGGGTTTCCTCCCGTCGCTGGAGGGCCAGAGCACAAACACCCAGCCCGCGTTCGCCATCATTTTTGCAGGCTGGGGCTGTGCACTGTGCACCTCCTGAAAACCTGAAGCAGGCCTAGCTACTAGCTGCCACTGTGCAAGGCAGCTGCTTCTTTTATGCCGTCGCTCGGCAAGAGTTGTGCAGGTGTTGATCAGCGCAAAGTGGCCTGTCTGAGGTCTCCTTTGTGATCAAGGAGCTCATGTTCAAGCGCTTCCAGGCGGGAGAACCGAAGGGAAAGGAGGGAGACAAACACTGTCTGCTAACTCCAAGCAAAACCATATTATGCCACTATGAAGCCGAAGCATGCAGTGTAGTTCACGAAGCTTTGGGGTACTGCCCAGCTTGCAGCTCCAATCGAAAGAGCCTTGCAATTGAACTCGACCAGATATCCTCGAACGATTGCTAGTGCTGCTAGTGGTATATAATTCAAAAATGCAGCCAGGCAAGGTTCAGACAATCAATTCCCTATCTCGTTTCCAAAGTTTCTCCCAGTGAATACAACTGCTCCGAAGTAGACACACGCACAGAGAGAGAGAGAGAGAGAGAGAGAGAGAGAGAGAGAGAGAGAGAGAGAGAGGGAGAGAGAGAGAGAGAGAGGGGGGTCTAAACAGCTCCCCAAGCCCTGCAGAAGAAGAAGAAGAAGGCGAAGAAGAAGAAGAAGAAGAAGAAGAAGAAGAAGAAGAAGAAGAAGAAGAGAGAGAGAGAGAGAGAGAACCAGGTAAACTGGGCACAAATGGTCGCAGTGGGGGACGCCCTCGAGGTTCTCATCGCCGGCGCCGTGTTGGCTCACCCAGCCGATGTTCTCACCCAAAGTACGGGTGGACAGGAGAGCAACCTCGTAGAACCACAAGGGGGGCCACTTCCTCCATGGCAGCAGTCTATGCATGTGATCCTGGCAATCATGGGGGAACTGGGAACGTACCCCGCGGAAGCAATGCCAGAGATACAGGATGCTGCAATGAAGTTGGTGCGTGCCGCGTCAAAGTTGATCCCAGAAAATAGCCGTGGTCTGCCTGGGGGACAACCGACGACAGCGGCGAGCGAGTGGGCCACAGACAGACATCATGGCCTGGGGGACCGTCAACGAGCTGGGGGACCGCCGTCACCTCGCCAACGAGCCCCTCGACGTCAGCGAAGCCGGTCACCAGCAGGGTCGAATGATAGCCATAGACGAAGACGTGACCTCGCAATACACCTCCATGAACAAGGCATCGGGGGACGAACATATAGCGATGCATCCTCTACGTGAACTGGGGAACGACTTCGATGATGCCTACATGATCAGCCGCACCGACAGCTGAGATGCTACCCATGAGTGACCCGAGTGCTGCAGTGATCTTTCACCAGGGGAACGAAAGCGAACTAGTCTGGTTTTCGAAGTGGTTTTGTATGGGTCAGGTGTCTCTGTGAGTTGGATAGATCTGTTCTTCCTGGGGACAGTGTGACAACCCTGTACAGTATATCGAATCGAACACACCCTCACGTAGGCAGCCACAGGCACCGATGATCATAGTTCTAGCCTGGCCAGAAACGTATTCCTATGCCTCTAGTCTGTGTTCCCTCCAAGACTGTGGCAAGCTACGGGGGATTAGTAACGAGACCTCAGCACAGTCCAACAAAGTCAGCAAGTTTTGTTTGAAGGTCCCCGAGCCCGTAGGGTCTAGGTGTTAAACCTACGCTGTGTAACGTTGAAGCACGACTCCGGGGTACACCCCAACAAACCTCGACCCTGCAAAGGTCGAAACCTTTGAGCGTGTCCTCGGTGATCTTAAGGCCAGAGACATGTGGTGGAGCTATTGTTTGGTATGTTGTCCAGCTCCATTGTTTTCAACAGGCCCCAAGATCACGCGTTCCAAAACGCCCACAACAAATCCTCAGCCATGTCGGAAGCTGCAAACGGTGCCATGCACTCTTTGATGGGTGTTGATTCATAATAGAGTAACAGAGTACGCTGTCTTATTGTGATTTTGGGGGACATATGGCACCGAACTCGTGGTGATTTAACCTTGCGACCGTGGAGCGGTCAAAGATTCCCCTAGAGTATGTGTCAATGTGACTAGATGTTTTTCAATACGCGGTAGATGTGAATATGTATATGTGGTAATCAACAGGGGAACGCTGCGAACTGTTCTTGTCCATGGTAGCCAAGCACCGGTCGAAGGTCAGCTGATTTTTACCATTTGACGTGTAAGGCTTATGAGCATGATATCTTGTAAGGGGACTTCGACCGAAGCTACCGGTGGCTTTGCACGTGTCAGTCAAACCAGTTCTGAACCCAGCTTCTTCACAGTCCAATATAGATCTTTGTGCACACTGGGGAACTAACTGGTTTTCTCACGCCTTACGAAAGACCTCATAACAAGTGGGGGTCCCAACAGGCCGGAGGGCTTAAACAGCCCTCTAAGCCCAGCGGAAGAAGAGAGAGAGAGAGAGAGAGAGAGAAGCGTGCTCGCGCACACAGACACACACTCTACTTACAGGGTGTTCGAATGCCAGTGCCAAGCTGTTCAGGCCTTTACTCTACTTACAGGGTGTTCGAATGCCAGTGCCAAGCTGTTCAGGCTTTTGCGCATCATACGTTCTTTTAAAAGGGTGACGAGCTCCAACATCTCGCTGGTTCCGTCAATTTCCCCGGCCCATCCCGGCCCGTGGCTCAAAAGGCCATCAGGGAAGCGTTTAAGCTGTTTATGTGTAGATATAGTTGGGTTTCCGGCGGCCTTGACGGTCCTTCCAGTTTTTGAGACAAGGTCGCTTCACTTCCGACGCCGAAAGGCCCCAGCACCACCACCACCACCACCACCACCACCACCACCACCACCACCACCACCACCGCCTCCACCACCACCGCCTCCACCACCACCACGACCACGACCACGACCACGACCACGACCACGACCACGACCACGACCACACCACCACGACCACGACCACCACTACGATGTGACTACCGCCGCGACTGCGACTGCGATTGGGCTGTACAGTTGCATGACAGATGCTTGCGGTTGTCTCGCTGAAGTGTTGTCTTGGCATCGTTGTTCGCATTGGTTTATTGGCTTGTGGCTTGTGGCTCTGACTCATGGGAAGGACTAGGCTGTGCAAAGTATGGGAAGTGAGTGCCAAGTGCCAGGCTTGGCAGGGAGCTCCTCATCCTGGCGGAGCTGGAAGCAGTGAAACTGGAAGCGGCCTGAACATCTTCGTCATGAACGCTCACCTGGCAGTCTTCCAGCTCCTGGCTTCCACCTCACTACTATAGGGGTCAAAATATTATAATAACTACCTATACTATCCTGGGGTTCCCTTTAAGCATCATGGAATAGTATCCCTAAACCCTATATTAAGTGTAACCTGCCAAAGCGGATCTTCGCGTGAAGGCTTCCTCTCACTACTCTCGCCGAAGCTTTCATGTGCAGAGAGGCTTCCTCTGACGGTTCTGCTGCTGCCACTCAACGAGCTCATGAAGCAGACGAATGGCGAAGGTGGGACCGCTGTCTGCTTTTGCATTGCACGAGCTGTGGTGAGACTTGTGGAGGTGTTGTGGCCTTTTCAAAGGAAGCCTTTACCTGCGTCTTTGTTGGCAGCTGCGGGCCAGACTCCAACCATGGAGAGCTTGCAGGACTTTGTGCCGTCGCTGCATGCTGGCAGCTGCTCTCTGTATGGAGACGTGTTTCGACTTCTGAGGTGTGGCCATTTACGTGGTGTTCAACGTCCTCTGGAACCTGAACATCGTTCTGGCCGTGAAGCATGCAGGTGCGCTGGCCACTAACATCGCCCTGAAGGCGGTGTTCCCTGCAGCTCGGTCCTGAAAGGGGTCAAGGTTTAGCCCAGCGGCAGCGGAGCGCTTTACGCTTTGAAGAAGAAGCTTGGCAGTTTAGCTTTGACAGGTGTCGACTGTCCTCTTTGCCTATGTCGACTGGCCCTTGCTCGGGCAAACAAGCGCCCTCCTAAGATTTTTTTACACAGCAAACGCGAGTGCCGGGACCGCGGCGGCTTGAGCTTCGAGCTTCATGCTTCGCTCTGAGGCCTCTCTTGGCTTGTATGGCTCTCCATCCTCATCTTGCTGCCCGCCATTGCGCTGTATCAATACGCGACGGACCTCCAGGCAGGGAGGCACAGAGTGGCGCCGAGAGCTGCTCCAAAAGGCGCCTGAATCTCAGAGCCATGGCATCGCAGCTGAGGTGCAGCGCGCTCGGGCGACCTGCTGCTGGCCCCTCTTCGCTGGCCCCTCCTCCTCCTCTCCTCCGCTGCTGCCTTCGCCTTCGCAGTGAGAGAGCAGCCTTCAGAGCAAAGGTGCTTGAGCAGATGCGGCTTGAAGCTTCGGGGCTTTACCGTAGTATTTCGGTGGCGTCGTCTTGGCGACTGTCGCAGCCGTAGAATTTGAAGGATGGCACGGGCGTGAGGGATGACGGATGTTCTTTTTGGCTCCTTGACTTCATACTAGTAGGGAGTTGTCCACTGCTGCATCCTTCGAAGTCATACCTGATGAGTGGCATGGCAGACTTGAAGGTTTGCTTTAGTCGCTCATTTACTTCCCAGCAGAGGCGTTGCAGGCTGGATGCGAAAAAGGGAGTTTGGGCTCTGGGGCATGGATTGTAGGCTCATGTAGGCACCACGTGCACTGGTATTTTATTGTTCCATGAGCTGGGCTGGTGAACTTGTGGATGCCTCACGGTTTTCGCAGTGCCTGGCTTTACCCCCAAGCAGTTTCGCGCAGTGCCTGATTTGCTGCGGCGTCTTGCTCGAAAGACCGAACCGTGAATGGGTGCTTCTGAAAGCCATGCCGGAGCTTCCTTCGTGCCATTTGCTTCTGATCGCCGTCGCCCTCGCCTCGGGGCATGGCCAGGACACGTTCGAGGTGCGACTCCACTAGGTCTGCAGTTGCCCGTAGGACGCCGACTGTATGGACTCAGCAAACCCTGAAGCCCCCCAACCCCCGTAGCAAAACGGATCAGTTTTAAGCAGTGTAAACAAAACAAACATACACACAGACACACAGATACACAGACACCCAGACACCCAGACACCCAGACACCCAGACACCCACACCCACCCCTCCCTCCAACCTCCCCATTCCGAATCATAATGAACCCTAAACACAATGGAGTTCTTAGAACGCCTCGGGAAAAGGAGAGCGGCGGTGTGCAGCTGCTGCAGCAGAAGTTGGCCCTCGGCAAGCTGGAGCCGCTCCTGGAAGCCGCCGAGCCGATTTACTGGATCCACTTCGCGCCGCTCATTCCTCTGTTTAGGGTTTTGGGTCGAGGGTTGGGGCTTTAGGGTTTAGGGTTTAGGCTGGGCCGGCCTTTCGGGGACAAAGGAGTTTAGGGTAGTATAGGGCTTTGAGAGGACTTGGGGCTCAGGTCATTCTCAGGCTTTAGAGGCTTTTCGGGTGCAGCGTTTGCGTTTCCAAGGTTTGAGCTTAACCCCACAACTTCGGCCACCAGTCAGGAAATGCGGCAGTTCCTTCATCAATCCTCTGATGCACCTCCCTGGAGTGTGTCCACTCGCCGGCAGCCTGGTCGTCGATAAGCAGTCCTTGGGCGCCTGTTACTTGGAGGAGTGAGGGGCCCCTCAGTAGATTCCCTGTGTCTGACACCCTCAAAGGCTTCAAAGGTAATATAGGGGCCTCAATAATTAGAATAGGGTCTTCGGGTATATTAGACTCGAATTGTGATAAGGAATCCCCGATAATCCCCGACATGCTATAGGAATTATTAGGGCCCTATGGTACAGAGTAGCAAGAAGGCTTCTCTCAGAGCATGCTCATGCGTGAGTTGTAGGGTGTTTCTAGCCTTTTGGGGTTTAGGGCCCTGCCATGTGCGCAGAAATGGTACGTGTTGTGTCCGGAAGTCTGCGACGCGAAGAAGCTCTTCTGCCCAAGTTTCATCGATGCCTTTCCACACCAGCAGATTGACAACTACACGGCTCGCAGAGGCGATCCTCTGACCTTCAGGGCTGAGGTATGCTGAGGTTCAATGTTCATTCATGAGCCTAGGGGTACTTCTCAGCAGGGGTACTTCTCAGCCACTACCGAAGATTTAAGAAGATTGTTGAATTATTTGGAAGATTGTTGAAGAAAAACGAATTATTTGGAAGATTGTTGAAGAAAAATGAATTATTTGGAAGATTATTGAAGAAAAACAAATTATTTGGAAGATTGTGGCAGAAATGCGAATTATGTGAGGGTTTCAATTTGAGGCTTAAACACGGTTTAGGGTTTAGGGCTCATGGTTTAGGCTTCCTGGCACGGCTCGAGGACCTGCCAAAATGGAACACCGAGGTTTAGGGTTTAAAGATTCTAGGTCTAGTATTGGTCAGCTTCGGGGCCCACAAAGTTTAGGGTGCCAACTTCCGAGGTTCAGGGTTTAAAGGTTTAGGGTTTAGGGCTTACGGTTGTTCGGGTCTAAAGGTGTAGGGTTTAGGGTTTAGGGTTTGGGTGAAAACACCCACTTTGTGGGAGTACTAGAGTTGAAAACAAATATGAGTAATCGAGTAGTGAAGTAATAGAGTAATAGAATAATAGAGTAGTAGACTAATAGAGTACTAGAGTATTTGAGTAATAGAGTAATAGAGTAATAGAGTAATAGAATAATAGAGTAATGGAGTAACAGAGTAATAGACTATGTGTGTGGAAAATTGAAACCCTTTGCTATGTTCGCGAAGCGAGGAAATTTTTTTGTTTTTTATGCAAAATTCATGCAAATGCTTTTGGTGCGAGTGTCTGGAGCAAGCCTTGTAGTGTGTGTGGAGTACTAGAGTTGAAAACAAATATGGATGTTCGCGAAGCGAGGAAATTTTTTGTTTTTTATGCAAAATTCATGCAAATGCTTTTGGTGCGAGTGTCTGGAGCAAGCCTTGTAGTGTGTGTGGAGTACTAGAGTTGAAAACAAATATGGATGTTCGCGAAGCGAGGAAATTTTTTTTTTTTTATGCAAAATTCATGCAAATGCTTTTGGTGCGAGTGTCTGGAGCAAGCCTTGTAGTGTGTGTGGAGTACTAGAGTCGAAACCAAATATGGATGTTCGCGAAGCGAAGAAATTTTTTGTTTTTTTATGCAAAATTCATGCAAATGCTTTTGATGCGAGTGTCTGGAGCAAGCCTTGTAGTGTGTGTGGAGTACTAGAGTTGAAAACAAATATGGATGTTCGCGAAGCGAGGAAATTTTTTTGTTTTTTATGCAAAATTCATGCAAATGCTTTTGGTGCGAGTGTCTGGAGCAAGCCTTGTAGTGTGTGTGGAGTACCAGAGTTGAAAACAAATATGGATGTTCGCGAAGCGAGGAAATTTTTTGTTTTTTTATGCAAAATTCATGCAAATGCTTTTGGTGTGAGTGTCTGGAGCAAGCCTTGTAATTAGTGTGTGTGGAGTACTAGAGTTGAAAACAAATATGGATGTTCGCGAAGCGAAGAAATTTTTTGTTTTTTATGCAAAATTCATGCAAATGCTTTTGGCGCGAGTGTCTGGAGCAAGCCTTGTAGTGTGTGTGGAGTACTAGAGTTGAAAACAAATATGGATGTTCGCGAAGCGAGGAAATTTTGTTTTTTTATGCAAAATTCATGCAAATGCTTTTGGTGCGAGTATCTGGAGCAAGCCTTGTAATTAGTGTGTGTGGAGTACTAGAGTCGAAAACAAATATGGATGTTCGCGAAGCGAAGAAATTTTTTGTTTTTTTATGCAAAATTCATGCAAATGCTTTTGATGCGAGTGTCTGGAGCAAGCCTTGTAGTGTGTGTGGAGTACTAGAGTTGAAAACAAATATGGATGTTCGCGAAGCGAGGAAATTTTTTTGTTTTTTATGCAAAATTCATGCAAATGCTTTTGGTGCGAGTGTCTGGAGCAAGCCTTGTAGTGTGTGTGGAGTACTAGAGTTGAAAACAAATATGGATGTTCGCGAAGCGAGGAAATTTTTTGTTTTTTTATGCAAAATTCATGCAAATGCTTTTGGTGTGAGTGTCTGGAGCAAGCCTTGTAGTGTGTGTGGAGTACTAGAGTTGAAAACAAATATGGATGTTCGCGAAGCGAGGAAATTTTTTGTTTTTTATGCAAAATTCATGCAAATGCTTTTGGCGCGAGTGTCTGGAGCAAGCCTTGTAGTGTGTGTGGAGTACTAGAGTTGAAAACAAATATGGATGTTCGCGAAGCGAGGAAATTTTTTTGTTTTTTTATGCAAAATTCATGCAAATGCTTTTGGTGCGAGTATCTGGAGCAAGCCTTGTAATTAGTGTGTGTGGAGTACTAGAGTTGAAAACAAATATGGATGTTCGCGAAGCGAGGAAATTTTTTGTTTTTTTATGCAAAATTCATGCAAATGCTTTTGGTGCGAGTGTCTGGAGCAAGCCTTGTAGTGTGTGTGGAGTACTAGAGTTGAAAACAAAATATGGATGTTCGCGAAGCGAAGAATTTTTTTTGTTTTTTTATGCAAAATTCATGCAAATGCTTTTGATGCGAGTGTCTGGTGTCTGGAGCAAGCCTTGTAGTGTGTGTGGAGTACTAGAGTTGAAAACAAATATGGATGTTCGCGAAGCGAGGAAATTTTTTTGTTTTTTATGCAAAATTCATGCAAATGCTTTTGGTGCGAGTGTCTGGAGCAAGCCTTGTAGTCTTCCCTGTTCTACGTAAGACTGCTGCATGCTTTTAAATTCTTCTAAATTCTTCTAGATTCGTCGGAATTCTGCAATTTTCTTCCAAAATCTTCCGGTTTCTGCCTGTCTGTCAAGACATGCCTGGTTCCCAACACCATTTTTTTTCATTTGTACACACACACGGTATCCACCATTTCTTCGTTTTTCTACCTTTTCTACCTTTTCTACCTTTTTCTACCTTTTTCTACCTTTTTCTACCTTTTTCTACTTTTTTCTACCTTTTTCTACCTTTTTCTACCTTTTTCTACCTTTTTCTACCTTTTTCTACCTTTTTCTACCTTTTTCTACCTTTTTCTACCTTTTATTCGGTTGAGGTTTGTTTTTTTTTCTCTTTTTTTCCCCTTTCTACCGGCATGCTTGGGGGAAGGAAATGCTGCCCGATTTTCAGCCCCTCCCCCCCCCCTCCCCTAGGCCATACGTTTAGGGCCTAGGGTTTAGGGCCTTAGGTTTAGGGCCTAGGGTTTGGGGCCTTAGGTTTAGGGCCTAGGGTTTGGGGCCTTAGGTTTAGTGCCTAGGGTTTAGGGCCTTGCGTTTAGGGCCTTGGGTTTAGGGCCTAGGGTTTAGGGCCTAGGGTTTGGGGCCTTAGGTTTAGGGCCTAGGGTTTAGGGCCTTAGGTTTAGGGCCTAGGGTTTGGGGCCTTAGGTTTAGGGCCTAGGGTTTGGGGCCTTAGGGTTTAGGGTTTAGGGCCTTGGGTTTAGGGTTTAGGGCCTAGGGTTTGGGGCCTTAGGTTGACGGCCTAGGGTTTGGGGCCTAGGGTTTAGGGCCTTACGTTTAGGGCCTAGGGTTTAGGGCCTTAGGTTTAGGGCCTAGGGTTTAGATGTATGTATATACCTTAGGTTTAGGGCCTAGGGTTTAGATGTATGTATATACGTGTGTATGTATGTATGTTTGTATGTATGCATGTATATGTATGTATGTATGTATGTACATGTGTGTGTGGGTGTGCAGGTGTGTATGTTCGTATGTGTAGGTGTTTATGTGTGTGTGTGTGTCTGTGTGTGTATGCATGTGCTTATGTATGTATGCATGTATGGATGTACCTGCCTATGTATGTATGTATATATGTATGTATGTACCTATGTATGTACTCATTTACACACACATACAAATGTATACATAATTGCGCATACGTATATACATGCATGTGTATATATTTATAAGTGCGTATATATAGATATATATGAAGATACACAAACATGTCTGTATATATATATATATGTATACATGTCTGTATCTATATATATATATATATATATATATATATATATATATATATTGTTTGTGTATGTATATACATACACATGTATGTATATACGTGTGTGTCTACCTATATGTAATATCTGTAAACAGATATAAATATATGAAGAATCGCCATTAAGGTCATCACCAACCTCGCCATAATTATTAAAACCATCATCATGCTCGTCATAGTTATCAAACCACCATCATCGTCTTCATATCCCTAGTCTTCTTCGTAGAACCCAGGTTTTATAATCATCAACATCATCATCACATATCATCATACACATCGCCAACGACATATTCACAATCGTCATCATAATCAGCATCGGCCATCATCAGTCATCGTTGTTATCATCCACATAGAACGTCGTTATAGTCATCATCATAAACATCGAATCATCAATGAGATAGAAGCCAAGCAGCTGGAATAATTACCAGTACTTTTGCTCAGGGCTCAAGGCTCCTTGTTTTTACTGTTACACATCCCGGCGTTCACGGCTTTGAAACATGCGACAATAATCAACAACATGTTGTTACGAAACAGAGTCTACTTAATGTATTTCCGAACAGGGTGAGAATTGAAATTTCCTATAGGATTTGTGCTTGGAATCCAAGAAAAACAAGGGTGCGAATTGTAATTTCCCATAGGATATGTATTTCCGAACAGGGTGCG